TCTCTTCTCTTCTCAGAAAGTAAAAAGTCCAAATTTAAAATTAAGAATGATTGTTTCTTGTCATCATGGATATAGATGGATACATAAACACCTTGATATAACGGCTTCGCTGTGACAATACTACGATATGACGGGTCAATCGTGCGAAGCAGTGGTTTCAATGCATAAGTGGCGGGAAAGCTTAATTACTTATTAATGGAGTTACCGATATGGTCCTAGGGACAGTATGGCTCATCTCCCTTTCTCACGCAAAAGCTCTTTTAGGGCTCGAAAACGCATCGATAGGGGGTGTTTGCAGCGAATCGCATGGCGGTGAGGTTACCAAAAGGTATGGTTTCTACCGGAGGAGGAGCTGTACTCTCTATCCGTCATGATTGAGCTCCTTGTTTGCAGATGCACTGAACGCGATAAATACAACAGCCATCTTAAATTGCATACAAATCCTTTCTATCCCTTGTTGGAGAGATGTATTGACAAGAGCTTCACCAATCGTGCAACCCACGGATAAGAATGTGCCCTGGAATCGACTTGATTATCGCAATCCATTATTTCGTCACTAATGGCCCTACCCGAGGAAGAGTGTAAAATAATTCACGCGTTACTACCATGGGAAGCGCGTAGCGTGCATAGTGAGAAAGAGTACTTCTACTCACGTTTCCTTTCAAGAAGGCTATTGTCAAATGGCGATTTGTGCATGCTTAAAAATACTTGGATGATACTTATGCAGCCACGCTGAACCGAAAACGCCGCGTCTCATGAAGGTGTGCCGCGAACACGATGGTCTCCTAAACTTTGTTCAGTGTTTTTAACATGATTGATGAATAATTTTGCCTGTCGATGAGAAACAGCAGTAGCCTTTCACTGCGGGCAGAATCATGAGCGGGATGCTCGGAGTGATTAAAAATGCCGCAGGAACTGTCTGATGATCTAACGCCTTTAATCATCTGGCGACACTGCTTTTCCGATTACATCGTGGATTTGCACGGATCTAATTTGACTTTATACTCGTACATATTTTTGAAAACACGGGGAGTCGAATTACGTGAAGCGACACATCAAACACTTGCGAGCAGTACTCGATATGTTGACAAGTGTGTTTTAGAGCCAGCATGATTTTCTACTGGGTTGCATCATGAAAAGTTGGACATGTGGGCAGATCCCATAACAATTAAGACCATTGTAGTTATGATAGTGTTTCTATTTTAACAAAACACAATGAAGTGGCTTGGCTTGACAAACTACTTGCACAAGTACAGAGCAAACTTAGTTGACATGTCAAGTGGTGTTGTTGTGGACAGAAGTTAAGGCTATGAACGAAAGACATATTCGTATCCCTATTTTGGCTCTTCTACTCCAGACCGGACACTTCATCCCGTCTTGTGATACTTGAGGCTTTTCCATTGACTGTTCGTGCTGCTCTTTACTCAAACAGAAGTCGAGGGTCATGAATATGTGATTGCATTTGAGTCTTGTCTGCTCAGAGGGAGACTCTATTCATGACAAGCAGCTACTTGCAATGGAGTATGTCGTCGTCAAGGTTAATGTGCATCTGCTTGGCTTTAAGCCGTTTGTAATCAATAAGAATCTTGCGTTATTGTACACAGCGGCATCATCACCACATCATTCACAAAGAATGACAAGATGTTGTTTTTGTAAAGTATACATTAAATGCAGATAAAGGACGAGTCGGCTTAATGTGGTGGTGGATGCAATTGCAAGACCTGCCTATGTATTGATGGTGATGTCGTGATTCGAGGAGGAAATACGTACAGGGTACGGGGCAGACGCAACATAGAGTGTGCTACTGAAAGCTTCAGAAGACTACGAGTTAATTGCTAACATGTTAACCTATCAATGCGCTCAAGTGCGCGCATTTGCACACCTAAAGCGATTTAACTTACCCCGAAACTTGCTGTAGTACAACGCTGACTCACATCACACTCAGTGTGTAGTTGTGCATTGTGACAGGGACTTTGAAGACAAAGTGCTGTACGAGAGATAAATTACGTCCGCGGCTTCATGGGTAGCACTTCTCAAGCCCTCGGCAACCGGGCCTAACACAACGCGCCCGCCCCGGGCGACGAATTTTTTCGTTGAGGAGTTGGAGGGCGTCGACTACTCCTTTCCCAGCATGGGATAACAAGGAAGGTGAAGTGCGCCAACCCTTTAGGTAGCCATTTCGAAACAGATAACAATACTGCCCAATGAGCGCTATGTCTTGATGGTTCAACATGTATAAGTTAGTAGGTACATATGTACACGTGAGAAAGACCAACGAGGTACTCCTTCGCCACATTCGGCACCATCTTTTGCCAGGATCAGGATCGCAGAGTGTTGTCAGTCTATAAGTTAAAATTTCATGTTTTGTCTGCCAGAAAGCGCATCCGGTTATCCTGGCATTGTGGTCTTTGGAGACCGTCTGCGCAAGATGGCTCGTTGCTATCAGCAGTACTGTAATCAATGAGGATACAGCTGATCCTCGATAAAACGTTTCGCAGCCAAAACTCACCGGTAACCAAATTTAAAAAAAAGATGCGCTTTGCAGCCAAGATTGGGCAACCCATGTTTAAGGTGCTCAGCATCAAATTAATATGCGCAGCACTGCCATATAAATTTAGATCGCGAAGCTTAACGTGTTGATCGAAGGGTGGTGGGTATCATTCGAAGATTTTGCGCGGAGAGACAGTGGTGCCGAAGAAAATTTCAATCATTAACTTGGCACTGATTAAAAGCAGTATAAGTCTTCCTGATGATACACACAGACTTTGACTTAAATGGCTCATCTAATCTTCGTGCTTTTTTGACCCCACCGCGAAATGGCTCCGGTCGTAGTGGGAGGAGACCGTCGACTCAATTCGACTTAATGATCGGAGTCCCGTACATCATAGCGTGACCAGTGATTTAATCACAATAATATTAAGCCTCACGCGCAGGGTGCATGATGCTATGACCGAAAGGTCGAATGCTCGAAAGCATAACGCCGATGCAAGAGGTGAGCACGGTACACACGAATCGATTAGGGAGTTAATGATTTGATTGAATTCAGTGGTTACCCTTCGGGTCTGCCATCTATACGACTGCGAACCGACTACACTACACCGCAGGCACGCTGAAAAAGAGATTAGAGTGTGCCATTTAAAAATTTTCGAGAATTCAAGCCCATTCTGTACTGTTCGTGGGGCTCCCAAAATCATACCATGATTCCGCCTCGACAAGCCAGTCAGATATGAAGATATGTTGTAAATATCCAGCGTCACTCCCATTCTGTACAATTGAACTACTTACTGTTGTAGAAGAAAAACGCGGCTCTGAGCCACTACGCGTACGCAGTTCGATGGCGAAATTTAGAAGGAGCATCCAAGATCTGAGTCATCTCGAATTCGGACGCACACCGAGTATCCCGAAGGGAACCGACATCCCGGCATATGACATAAGTGAGGCCTCAATTCCCAATAGTTTTCAGCACAATGGTGTCTCTTCTATTTCAACAAATGCTTTAGAAGTTCTGGTGCACACGCAGGCCAACCGAACTTTCAACGTGAAATTGGACCGCTCCTTACTCATTGGGCAGCTCTCATAAGTCTTTTCGATTGGCTCCTTACCACCTGCGCCGTCGGCCTTTGTCTTCGTTGAGAAATGTCAGGGTTGCTTGTCTTCCCACCAGCGAGTGGGGGTCGGTCTCGATGATTATGACATTTGGTTGGTAGCTGTTACAGCTGTCCCTAGGAGGCAAGCAGCAGGAACTGGAGGCGATGGACTCTCACCTCGACGCCCGCGGCGAGCATTATACTTCGCAAAAAACAAGCATGAGTTGATCTCCTGAAGGTCAGCAAAGCCTGAGGAGATTTGGTCTGTGACTCTTGGTGCTCGTTTTTGTTATCGATAGGAGCAAAAGGCCCGCTCGCATAGGTATGCAAGGAGTCCGCTTAAGCGCAGGCGGCAACTTTAAATGCTTTGAAACCGAAATCACAGTGTGATGATCGCGGCAAGGTTTGATGTGACTCCTGCGATATGAGAGCAGCAAGCTGGACTCCTCCAGCCTTGTCCAGTTCGTTGATGATTACTGAACATCGGCTGAGTGTCAACACAATCCGCCTTACGAAATGAGTAAGTAACATGTGACTCACTTAAACAGGGGGCCGAGTACAGCAGCGCCTCCTTATCGGTGAGTAGCTAAGCAATGTGACATAAGGTAAGACGCAGAAATGTTTGGTCAGAGTCTGGGGGTCACTGCGACTGTTCTCGCTGGAGAAACATGCAGCGGGGCTGCCGTAGCAGGAAGCTAAGCTAAGATCACTTAATTTACGTTCTTTCCAAGAACCAGTACTAGTGTAGCGAATCGCAATCCGCTACTTCTGAGTACTTACAACCTTAATCAAGGTAAGCGAACACTTCTGTTCAAAACTGAAATTGTATTTAACTGTTTTATTTGCGGCAGAGCCGCTAATATCATAAGCCCTAGGTTTTCCTAACTAATATTTTAATACCTTATTAATATAGCAAAACCTAATCAAATAGTAATATGCATTACTACTGGCAATCCTGCCACGTGGTGGCTTCTTGTTACGGTAATTCCACACCACTGTGTGATTACACTAACTGCGTAATACACACCTGCACGAGCTTGTGCGACCCGCCCTTTCTTACAAGGGTAGGTGTTACCCTGTCACACTCCTCCCAATTAAAATTGTGAATATCCTCAATTCACATTTACCAATCGCTTCATACGAGGCTCGCGTGTCTGAGACACCATCACCTTCTTAATAACAACTTTAAACCTTCTCAGCTCTATGAGCACTGGGTCTACAACACGCAAACCACCCAGCCTAATTGGCAGAGATGGCACCCGCAGGCAAAGCCTTTCTTCTACTGCACAGGATGAATTTCTAGAGAGTACGTCCGCGGCTTCATGGATAGCACAACCCAAGCCCTCGGCGACTCGCGGTCGCCTTCGACCGTGAGTCGGTCACTCCTTTCCCAGGATAGGATGACGAGAAAGATGAAGTGCGCCGACAGCAAGGCGGGAACTGGGCTCATACCTTGCGGTCCCCGACTTCTCGGCTTCCTGGAGAAGTGGTATCTATCGTTAGGCGACTACGTAGTCGGGTGATCACTACACAAGCTGAGCTTAATCAGAGGAAAGCTCGGCGAGCTCGCTTTTTGGCGCCCCAAGAGATCACAATGGATCGGTACTAAGCTCGAATTCGAGCTCGAAAGTGCTCCTGTTCCCGCAATGCAGACCATTTCTGTAGTTCTCGCCCCTGGCGACACCGCTGCAGATGACGATGAGCCATTTGAGCGATGGGTGCAGCGGCACCGAAAACTTTCCTCGCTGTCTACCTTATAGCAAAGCCAAAAGAAAATGAACGTGCGCGTTGAGAGATTTGAGTTTGCAAAACTCAGGGCGCAACGCCATTTTCCTGCGTATTGTCGCCCTGCGACATATGGAACAATCCATAACGCTCCCGCGAGCTCTGTGGTTTCTCACACGGGTGAGGCTACGACCACAGCAACTCAGAATCATAGCTTGAGCTCAGCTCATGGCCTCCGGCTTCCGGACTACTGCCGAGAAACATAGTGCGCAAGACGATGCGAAGTGTCATGATCCTTCTGATCACAAGCGTCTATGACGTCTGTGCAGTCTTGCTGAAGTGGCACCTCGAATTCCCGCGAGCTCTCGGAGTCTAGGTATTTCCGCCACTTCTCAAGATACTAAATCCGACCCTATCGACGACGTCGACCCACAAGACGTTCCACGTGATAGCGCACGCCACTATTCTTGATGACAAGAGTCGGCGGCAGGCAATTACAACTTGGTCGATCGCCGTCCGGTGACCCGCGATACTCTTCGAGCCCTCGGGGGACAAGGTGGGTCTCCATCGGGGTTCCGCTGAACATCATGCTGAGGTCGCATACCGCTGCGCGGAAGACCTCGAGAGCTTGGAGTACTTTGGCACCGACTGCCTTACGTTGAAGACTATCGCGCTCTATCGGAGTGGATCCTAGCCGTCGAGCAGACGAATGCGTAACTTCGTGCGACGATGGAGCACCTGGCGCCGTCGAAAACGGAAATTGCTGCACTCCGTGATCAGAATCAGTTGCTGGCTCAACTTCTGGCTGGCCGAGCGCCCTTGGGCATCGCCCTGCGCCAACGCTTCCATGTTCACTTGCGCCGGATCCCGGTACGGCTAAAGAAAGCCCACATAAAACACCGGGTGTGTGCGTATCTTTCTTGGAAAGTATAGCGCTTCTGCAAGGCCTCGCCTGGCCACGACTTTCAAAGATCCAATGACGGAGCTTCATCCTAAAGACTGCAGAAACTGCATGTGTAGGAAGTTTCTTAGCATTTAATAGATTCAGGTCTCCGACCTCAATGTTTTTAGCCTTTCTTTCTTTTCCGTCTGCATGTCTTGGCTTTCAGCCATCGCATCGTGAACGTGTCTTAATACTATCAATCTGGTAGACAGGAAGTCATCGACGTCTTTACGCACAGTGAGGGGACTGAAATCAGCTTACCGTTCGGCAAATTTCCCCCCACCAAGCCCTGAACCGTGGGATGGCGGCGTCTGCGGGACGCGAGTATTAACTAGCCTGTTCACGTAGAACGGCGTGTGGTCGGTTGATAAATGCACTGTATTGTTTAGAGCAAACTTTACGAGTGGCAGCATGGTGGCGTCTCGTCGCGAACGCTGCGAAGAACGTCTTCAGCGACGCGATTTACGCGCTCAGTTTGACCATCGTTTTGCGGATGGCTCGCTGATAACATGGTAAATTTGGTGCCCGGAATACAAAATATTGTAGACCAAATCTTCCCAGTGAAGCGTGGTTCTCTATCAGAAACAATTGACCCCGGGAGTCCATGTTGTCGAAAGACATATCGACAGACAGCGTCGATGGTGTCGGCACTGCCGCAAGATGAGCCATTTTGCTCAAACGGTCCACAAAGACCACCATACTAGTGTTGCCCGCCGACCTCTTCGGCAGGCCAAACACAAAGGCCATACTCAAGGCACCCTTCGACACATCTCACTTGCTCTCACGCACGATTCCTGCCTCGTGCTTCGCACGGAAAAAGGCGTCAATGACGTCACCCTGTTCTTTGGGCAGGGGCCATTGGCGCGCTACGCAGTATTTGGTTCTCGGAACCAGGTCAATTTCATGACGCACACCTCGGTCCGCTAGTAGAACCTACAGCAGGTCTCTGGAGGCGACGTCTTGGAATTGCATCACCAAAGTATAATACGGATTCGAAGGATCCTTCAAAATTGACGATCCACTTCGTACGTTCAGCACCTTCGTACGAGAGGTTAATCTCCTCGTTCGGTGATACAATGACCATCTGGTTTCATTGCCTGCCTTCAAGGCACCACCAAACTCTTCAAAGGACATCTCGTTCAGCCCAAAAAGAGCATATACCCGAGGAAAAGCCTCGAGGGTGACGTCACCGTCTTCCGCTCCTGTCATGCATAGCTGTGCGCTATCGTCTACGGTAGGCATACCCTGGGTCAGGGTCAACGCCCCGCGTCTTGCAGATAACATACAGCTTCGCCGTCTCCACTCCTTAGAGATTTTACTTCTCGGCGAGACCAGTGGGAACACGCGCTCGGCGTCGTCCAGTATCCCCACTCCCTGTTCCATCGGAGCCTTGGTGCTATTAACATCATCCGACAAAGAGCTGCTACTTCCGCAGTCTTCGTCCAGTGGATAAAGTACCACTCCACTCGCATCAGAAGAACCTTGCCCAGGATGCCTCGGATCTCTTCAATCATGCCACGCTTGGCATGCAGCATCTGCTTCGTAACGTGAGCAGTGCTCAGTGGGTTTTATGCCACTTCACGTTCAGCCCGCGAGCCACGCTCGGGACTCTTGTCCAGGACACCTTTGGTGTTTGACAGCTCGGTCTTTCCGATATTTAGCACATTGACTTTCACGGTCCAGTGCCGGCGCCAATAGCGCTCCTGGTTCTAGCAAAGGTGGATTTACGACTCATCAAAGCTCCATAAAAAGACGTGCGTGTAGCCCAAGTTCTTCGACCTCCAATTAATCCATGCTTTCGGACACCTTACGCCACCAATCCAGGAGAGAAAAGCATGCGCTCGGGGCAGCAGGGGTCTAGTTAATTTGCATTTTTCATGACGAACGCATTTTTGAGTAGTGAATGTTGGCGGAAGAACCGAAGAGTGTCGCATTCGATACGTACGCCTGGTGAGAAAGATCCGCTCATGGTGTTCCAACCATGCCATACCAATGATAAAGTCATACATTGCGTCCAAGTCTACGACTAGACAGCGTTCCACGCTATGAAATCAAGGAACTTGACACCAAGGTCCTCAGGGACCCTAGGCACAGTGACACAAGGTTTCGTCGCTAAGCGGACAGTGACGGTGTCACTCATCGCACTTCCAGCGCCTCAGCATACAGCTGACTTCCTTCTATTGTGGACGCACCAGAATCGATAAAGGCTTATCAAAGCCCTTCACGGTTGCTTTCCCAACCAGCAAGACCGTCTTGCACACACGTTCCGTGTTCAAGAGCACGCAGCTCTTCGGGGCTGAACCCTGCTGTTCTCTTCCTCTTTGA